GCCGAGGGTTGTACCCATTAGATATTCTCTTTCTGCTCTAATAACCCTGATTTTATTAAGATTCCTTGAGGGTGTTGAATGAGCTGTCCAGTGTAATGTAATTAATTTAATGAGATCCATTTGGTAAAGGCAGCTGTGGCCCATCTCCTTTTCATGGTTAGCGGACATTTGTTGGCTGGGTAAACTCTCATGCTCACAGATTTTGATGGAAGTTTAATTACAACAGTAAACTGGTGTCCTTGGTCTCTCCATGTCTGTTCCCAGCGAGCGTGCCAGAGCCTCCGTATGTGCTAAAACAAAGGGACTTCTTGACAAGGACTGACATCGCCCTGCTCGGGTCATCAGCCCAAGGCAGAAATGTGGAGAAAATGAAATTGGCCCCCTGAGGTCTTTCCACCTCTTCCTCTCCCCCGGTGTTCATTACTCCCCGCTTTAGGCTCCCCTGACGCTGGCCCAGCTTCAGGCCAAATCACTGCTCAAATCACTGCTCACAGAGGGCTGAACTACCTGTGCTAAAATGTGAATGGATGCTGGGGGACATGGCCCCCCACTGCCAGTCAGGTGTGGGTGTTCAATGCAGGCTCCTGAGGGCCAGGCCAGGCTCAGGAGGGAACTAAGTAAAGGCTCCTCCCAGTTGCAAGTAACAGAGTCCCCTCCGAGGAGCTGCACATCGAGGGGCTTCATGGCTCTATTCCAAGGTCACAGGCTCTGGTGGGAAGGAAGGGGAGAGGGTGAACTTGGTCCTGGCAAGGGACTGACCAGCAACACGAGGGGCAGTTTCCTCTCTCTCTCTCTCTCCCTCTCCTTTCTGCAAAGGACCAGATAATAAACATTTAGGTTTTGGGCTCTTTAAAAAAATCAAAATTATTATGGCAACTCTGGATCAACAGCAACATTTTACTTTTTTATTTTTTACTATGCAAAATGTTTTAATTTTTCTCATAGAAGAACTAAAGACTTAACTGTCTGCATATCCCACCATAGAATATAAAGTCCATAAGATGGGCCTTTGTTTGTGAGGCTCCCCTAGGTTTCGCACTGACATGTGCCCTGCCCTGTTCTGGGAGACACAGCAGCTAATCCACTGAACAAGGCCTCTCTTCTCGTGGAGCTGATAACTTAGTGAGGATGTCAGCAAGCAAGAGGCAAGCGCACCCAGTTTAGAAGTCCAAGCTTCCGCGAAGAGATGAGAACTTCTAAGAGTTGCTGGCTGCCCCAGAGCCAGAAGTCCAAGAGCACAAAGCATAAAAATTTTAAACAGACAGTGCGATATTGTGATATAATAAGAAATATTTGGACTTTGTCCCTGGATCCTCATACAGGAGCTTCTAAAACCCTTGAATTTCCTGTTAGGGATGCAGGGAGCTTACTTTGGTACAATCTCCATCTTAGTCCTGGGTTCTGATATAGAGCTTCTAAGAACCTTGGAATCTTGGACTGAGAAGAATGTCTTTTTGGATGCTAATGAGGTGACTTTGATGGGCCCCTAGATAACTTCTGGATGGGGGCTGGTTGCAGAGAAACCAACCAGGTGCTGGGAGGTGGGGGGTTGTAACTTCCAGCCCACTCCCTGCTCCAGGGAGGGGAGAGTGTTGGAGGTTGAATCAGTTGCCAATGGCAAATGATTTCATCACTTGTGCCTGCATAATGGAATCCCCCCCACCGCCTCCACTAAGGTAACAGGACATTCCTGGACAAGGGTAATAAAAAAAGTAAGTTAAGTGCTGAGATGCAAGATGTAATTCTGGGCACAGAGACTCTAAGACAGGGCGAGTGAGACCACTGAGAACTAACCCATCACAAAGAGACTTGAAGGGGCTTTAGAATAACTAGGGAAAGAAGGTATATACTCCCTGAGGCATGACATGCGGGCTTCCCTGCCCCTCCCTGGCCTGCTCCATGGGCCTGGATTCCCATTTTGTTTCTGTTCCTTTTCTCAATAAACCTTTCCTAATCTCTAAATAAATTTGCCTCTTTTTACTTGCTTGCCTGAGAGTCAGCAAGTTCCTGCTGCAGCTTTGCTGGACACCAACCTGTCGTGGCCTAGTGGTGGGTGTGGAACCAAGCTTAGCTGAGGTTTCGCCATTTGGTATATCCTCCACCTTGATATGTTAGTCCTTGTCCTGCCACATTCCGGAGATAGTTTCAGCAGTCACAACCCTCACTCCACTTGGTGACGAAAAAGCAGACCACCCCAGCCGCCAATGAGGGCAGTCCTGTCCATAAATGGGACAGCATCTCTAACCGTCCAATCAGTTTGAAACTGTAACCGCGCGCGCCAAAATGCCTTTGTAGTAGCCAATGAATAATTGCCAACTTCTTTCAAAGTTCCCGCCACTCGCGACCCTATAAGATGTCCCAGCTTCCTCTGTTCGGGGCTCTCGACCTCTGCCGTTGCATCGGTGCGTGTCGAGGGCCCGGTCTCGAGCCCGTATTAAACTCCTTTGTGCCCTTGCATCGGTTGTCTGTGTCCTTGGGGGCTGCACTGGTCGACGTGGGCACAACAGTGGGAACTCAGTGCTGCCCCTGCAGCCTGGGATCCATTCCTGCCTGGGAGACTAGGCCTGAAAACCTGAAATTACAGTATCAACAGGAGACAGAGACAAATGAGTGAGGGAGCTGCCTTCGCTCCTCTCGCTCCCCCCCTTAGTTGTTTGCTGTTGGAAGTGTCTCCACTGCTGCCCCAAACCCCACTTCCCATATTCTAGCAGCTGGGCCTTCAGGCCTCTCTGGTATCACCCCACCCCAGCCCCCGCAATCCACCCTCCCCCCCAACCTGCCCTCTGCCCCCTCCTGCCTCCACAGCCCTGCTCCAGTCACTTTTCACTCATGTTCCCCAACAGGGAGACAGTTACTCTCAGCTGGCCCTTTGGAGGGAAACCTGGAGGGAATCCTGTCTTAACAGCATGCTCCTTCTGACCCAGATGCATTTCCAAATGCAGTGGAGCAACCAGGCCCAGGGCGGGCAGGGAGGCCAGGGGGCTGGGGAGCCTGGCAAGTCCCCCCCAACCCCCATTAAATTTTTGGGCTCTTTCTCTGGGCTCTCTGGCATCCTCTGCCCTGTCAAAAAGGGTCTCACCTTTTCTGTAGTCAAGCCGCTTGTCGTCATTGCTGCCACTGCCGTGGCTTTTAGCCTGACTCTAGGCTCAGGTGTGCACACTTGCACATGCGTTGCACACCCATACTCCAGGTGTCCATAATCAGGCACGCACGCCCCATACCCACGCTCCCAAGCGCCTTCTGCACTAACACTATTAAGGCAGCAAGTGATAGCCACAGAGGCCAGTGGCACAAAAAGCCTGATTAAATCATTTTCCCTACACCAAAGTAGAAAGTGTTTTTAATCAAAAGACCTTTCAGGGAAATAAACTCAAACAAAAAATTAAAACACTCTCTATTGCCTTTATTTATAATTGCTGAATAGTGCATGAAATTAAGGTGACTACTTTGACTTAGGTGTTACAAAGAGTGAATGAACCTCAGGTATCTGGGAGGTGTGGCTCAGGCAGGTATTTTTTTCTGGCTGACTTCCCCAAAATGCACGATGCCGGCACCTTCTGTGAATGCAGGGAAGGGCCAGCCTTGGTCAGGTTGGAATTGGGTCTAAGGTCTGGTCTGAAATCTACAGTATGGACACCAGGCCTATCCAGGTGCTTCTGCAGCTACTTCCCTGATGACCAGTTGGTGTAGCGTGTCCCCTGCTTGACCCTCTTTCCTCTGGACTGTAATCCCTCAAACACTGGCTTCTAGAAGCAGGGAGAAGCCAGCCAGGCTGTGATGAATCAATTGCCAGAGACAAGATCAGGTAACGCATAATACTGAAATGAATACATGAATCTATGTTCCAATAAAACTTTATTTGGCCGGTCCTGATCAAGTTTAATAGATTTTTTTTTTAAACGTGAGTAGTAATAACAATTCCTCTGCAATAACAATTATACATGACCTCCCGGTCAAGGTCAGCAGCTTGTTCCTTTACCACAAAAGTAAAGCCGCCCTCCGAGGACAATGGCACATGAGGAGCGGGGTACATATTTCCTTTTCTTCAATTAAAAAAACCCCAAACGCTTTATATTTACATATTTTTCCATTGAAAAACTGGTCAGTGTGATTACTTGTTTTTAAATAAGTTTCTAATGTGTTGCAAGTTTCAATGTACAAATCCTAGTTAGCGGATTAGGTTTAAGGTGCTGTTGAGGTGAGGATGAACACAGCCCAGGTCCAAGCCTGGCGAATCCCCTGCTTACAAACTGGACTGACTTTCTGGGAGGACCTCTGGGGGTGTTGGGAGAACAGCTTAACACAGGTGGCAGAAAGGGCAAAGTATTTCAGGGGACTCGATTTTGCTTTCAGAGAGCCTGCTGGGCGCCCACACCACCCCCAGGCAGTGTGAGGGCACCTCTGGGTTTGCATGCTTCAAGCTCCTACTGGCCTAAACTATGAAGGGGCATGGCTGCTCTGAGTCCCCTCCTTTGTTGTGGGGTCCCCATGCTGGTGTCTGATTCCTAAAGGCCCTCACTATTGGCTCCCCACTTCGCAAGACCTTCCAACCTTTCTGGATTCTTGGTCCCTAGGTCACACTTGCAAGGCTTTGCTTTAGTGCCCGCTCCTGGCCAGGGCTACATGGACGGTCAAGGGCCAGGGCGGCATCAGTGGCATGTGATGGGTCCCAGGGGGAGATCTTCTCTTCTGACACACTTGCTCTGCGGTGGCAGCACCTGTGGGAGTGTTCCTGAGGTGGGCTTGAAGAGGAGCTGTGGGTGGGGATGGGGCGGGTTGAAGGCATTCTTGGGGTTGCTGTCTTCAAACTCTCCAGTGCACAACGTCCCCTGGGGAACGCAGGCTGTGTCTGCATCAGTGGGGGCATCAGGAAAGTGCATAGGGCATTATTCTGGAGGAGGTATGCGCATGGGCCTGGGAGAATGAGCTGTTTTACCCACGATCCCAAACTGGTCAGATCTGAAACCAAGAAGTCCGGAGTCCGGTGGAGGGGGGGGGTAGGGTGGGGTTTGGGGGGGAAACAGGCTTGGTGACTAGGGGGAAGGAAACCGGCTGTTTCCAAGTGCTCTGAACTGAAAGACATCGAATGGGTCAGACGGTAATGGACGGGGAAGAAACGTTCTTAGACCAAGTGTTGTGCCAGAACCACCAGGGGAAGGCTTTAGGTAGTGGACAGACAGTGCCTTGGGGCCCGGAGGCTAGAGTTCAAGGCTGGCCCATCCTGATTAAGAGTCTTATTTGCATCCCTGGCCCTCACTGAACTTCCTTATGTCTCAGTGGAGGCTGGGTGGGCCAGGGCATTTCAACACTATGCCTGCAAGATTCCTCTGCACCCAGACACCCCTGCAGGGAGGGCACTGCAGTCTAACACTCATTTCTTCCCTGGGCACCACCCATCACGAACCTCCTCTTTGCTGGGAAAGTGACCAATCCCCAACTAGGCTCCTGTTCAGACCCTCTCCCAGAGGTTAAAGGCTAGTTATTAAGGCAGTTTAAGAAATGGACATTCCTCTCGCTCCTCGGATCCTTCCTGTCTTCTGCTAGCGCCAACGCAGCAGAGAAGGGCTGAAGGGGTGCTGGAGGTGCAGGGACAGGTGGCCCCTCCTGTCAGGCCCGGTTTTTCGCGGGAGGCCTTCCACTCGGCCCCCCTCCACCCTCACCACCTCTCTTTGGAAAAGGCCTCAGTCTGCACGAGATCGCCAGGGTGCTCAGTGATGCACGCGCCGTTGAGGTCGCCCAGTTTATTGTCCGGCAGGTCTTCGGGCTTGGTGCACAGTTTCAGGGCGCGGGAGATGAACACGTCCAGGTCGAACTGGGGGCTGGCGCCCCCGTCGATGGGGGCCAGGCGGCCGGGCGGAGAGGCTGACAGGCGGTGCTCCGGGCCGTCCGGGGGCGGGCTGGCGCGCTCCGGGCCGCCCTGCGTGCTCTTGACCCACTGCGCGATCTCTAGGAAGAGGCTGGCCGGCTCCTCCTCGCGCGCGCCGGGCTCGGCCGCCACCGCGGCGCTGGGGGCGCGCCGGCCGCCTGCTTCCAGTGCGACAGGTCCAGGATGAGCTTGGGCTCCGAGTAGTGGTGAGGCTTGTTGTCGCGCCACAGCAGCTTGTCCAGGTAGGAGGGCGACCCCACCTTGTAGTCGCAGGAGCGCCCGTAGTCGGCCTCGAAGGCGCGCTCCATGGACGAGTGTGACTGCTCCAAGAAGCGCTCGGAGCTGCTCTGCGAGTCCTTGCCCGGGTCCACCTGCACGTCCTCGGCCAGGGGCGCGGAGCCCGCGCGCGGGTCGCGCTGCACCTCGCTCACGTCCTGGCACCGATCAGGTCGCCACTCTAGGTCCGACGACAGGCTCACCGGGTACCTGCAAGGGGACAGACGTAAGGGAGATTGGATTTCCCAAGCCCAGTGGCTTCGCAGAGTGAGCTAAGCCCCCTCACCCCGTCTGCCACCCAGAAGGGGTGGTGGAGGTGCAGGGACAGGTGGTTGGATTAACCCTTGGATTAACAGGGACTGCTTGGATTAACCCTTGTGTCTCTTAGCATTCAATCAATACCCTACACACGTTTCTTGTGCGCTTACTATGTGCCCAGCACTTTTCTAGGCATCACCCAACACAACAATGAACTAAGCAACAAAATCTCTGCCCTGGTGGAACTTACTTTCTAAGGCGCACCTATGCAGAGCTCCTCAAACTTTGATGTACACACAAATCACCTGGGGGTGGGGGTGTCTTGCTACAATATGGATCTTACTAAAAAGCAGATCTTGATCCAGGAGATCTGAGATGGGGTGTGGGACTTTGCATTTGTAACAGGCTCGCAGGCGATGTTGATGCCGCTGGTCCTTAGCCCACATTTTGAGGAGCAAGGCCCTAATGAATGCTTCTCAGCTCTGCCTCAGGTTAGAATCACCTGGGGGAGTTAAAAATAAAATTCCACGCCTGCCCCACACCCCCAATTCTGATTCAATAGGTCGGGGCCTGAGGTCTGGGCAGGAGGGAGATGACCCCTTCAGTAGAGACCAGAGGTCCTTGGAATTCTGCTTTCAATCAACTGTCCTGCAGCCTCAGAGGATGAAGTCAGGTAGCAAAGAGCAAGAAGGGCAAGCGGGTAGCTGTCAACTCAGGGTGAGCGCTCCGTCCTGTGCCATGTGCTTCCTGCAGAACCACTGACAGGGACACAGGGAGCACAGAGGCGCAGCAGTCAGCTGTTCCCAGAACAGCAGGCCCGGTGCTCACACATGGAAACTGACACAGCAAGGACAGGCAGGTTTGGCTGTGAAGGGGCAGGTGGCCAGCGGCAGTTCCATAATGTGGTTTGTAAGGTGGGCACTGCCGCCCTCCCAGAGCAGGGGTCACTCCAAGAGGTGAACTCTGTCTCTTCCCATGAGGGTCCTCGAAACTGCTGAGACTTAACCTTGGATGCCACACACCACCTTGATAGCAATTGTGTGAGTTTGTAGTACAGAAGAGGACACTGGTGTTCAGGGGTTGAGCAGTTTGCCCAAAGCAACAGAGGTTTGTCATCACCCTTGTCATCCTCCCTGTGCAGGTGTGATGGGGAAGGGCAGGGGTGGACTTGTGCCAGGTTTGGAAGTGGTCAGAGTTGCTGGGCAGCAACCAAGGAACCCCTGCCATGGTTCTTCATGGCACCAATCCTATGCCACAGCCTTAGTAAGCACAGGATGGACTTTGCTGAGCTAATGCTCTGTACCCCCAAATGCTGTGGAATGGATGGGGAGAGGCTGCAGGGACCACAGTCGAGGGCAGACTGAGCAAGGAGGAAGCAGAAGAGAGTTTCATTAATTTCTATTTGCTGACAACTCTTGATAACCACAATCGACAACAAACCAACAAACCAGTCCAAAAATAGCCACAATGCACTGGCCCTCCTCCTTTGGTGCTTCATTAATCTGAAGCCCATCATCTGTCATATGACTAAAAAAGGAGAAATTGCTCATCTGCCACTTATATAACTAGCTGTCACATTCCCACAACAGCGGGGCTCCCACTTATGCCCCTGAGAACCCTAGTTGCTAAGTCCTTGACTCCTATTTCTAAACTGAGCAGCTATCAGCCTCCCCTCCAAGGATTAGCAGATGGTGCTGTCCAAATGTTTAGCTGTCTGATCTAAGAACATCAAAGCAGGAAGGGACCGAATTATGTGCCTACATGGATATTGTTAAAAAAGCATATCTTCATCCAACTCTGATCCACTGGTAGTAACTTCCAGGGACACTGTTGGGCTTGAGCCCAGTTTAGCAGAAATGAGTGTTTTGATTGTTCAGCAGTATGTGATGTGGATACAGATCAGGGAAGGATCCACATGGGCTGGGTGTTAGCTGTGTGACTCAATGCCCCATCTCTAACCTCTCTGAGCTGTAGCTTCCTCATGTGAGTGGCAATAGTAATAGTAGTAGTGATACTAATAATGGCTCCTCCTTTAACAGCACTCTCAGGAGGTACAAATGATGAGAATCATAGCAAAGTATTGTGTTGTGGTAAATTCTGCATTGTTTTCTTGCTTTGCATTGCTGCAGTTTATTTTTCAAGGGCAAATTCCCAGCCTGCTAGAACAGCACTCCTGCAGTAGGTCCTCATTAAATGTTTTTCCAGCATTGTATAGTCTGTGTTCAGTACACTCAGGTGGGGAGGAAGCCTGGTGGAGGCTGGATTGCACAAAGGACCCACACGTGCAAGACATGGCTGGTCATACTGCGAGTGCGTGGGGACAGGAGAGAGACAGGCAGGGAGCTAAGTTGTGGATTGTGCCCAGAGACAGAGGGAAGGGGCATGGAGGATCTGAGGCAGCACAGAAGTGGAAGGACAAGCATGTGGGCTCTGGATGGCAGGGCTGGGTGCCCCTGAAGCCACACCTGTCCCAGTTGGAGAGCTGGCTCTGGTTGGCGGCCATCAGCAGGATGTCGTCAATCTCATCCTCAATGCGGAAGGGGTGCTGCGAGGTGGGCTCGTCCTCGGGGCAGGAGTAAGGGCTCATGTAGGGGTGCTGCAGCGCCATCTCGGCTGTCAGACGATCCATGGGGTTAAAGGTCAGGATTTTCTCCAGAAAGTCAATGGCTGTGGGAGCAGAGCAGACAGGAAGGTCATTTGTTGCCCCTGCCAAGCTGAGAACACGTCTCCCTGCACAGTGACATTCCCAGGTGTTTGTACTTCTCTGTCTGACAAAGGGTCATAGCCGTTTCTCTCCCATAACACTCACTGCAATCCAGTGACAAGTGCAGAGCAGCGACTGCCTCTTGACTTCACAAGTGAGCAGAGGCCCAGAGGTTGCTATGGGTTACTCTACTGTAGGTTGGATTTCTCCAGAACAAGGATTGGGGTGTAGGTGGTTTATGTGGCAGTGACCCCAGGAAGCACAGGTAGGGGAGTGGGGAAGAAGCCACCAGAAAATGTGCCAATGAGCTGGCTCCTCTTGTGGGTACCTGGGGTTCAGTCCATTGGGGTTCCCCAGGAGACAGTGTGGGGCAAACACTAGAGGTGGTTCTACTTGGTGGGAGGGAACCTGGGATGTCTCCACACTCACCCCCATTCGTCATCAGTTGAGTGCTGCTGGGGTGGGCAGGGGAATCTGTCCTTCCAGGAGCTGGCAGTAAGAAGACTCAGTGAGACCCTCCCCCGGAGGTGAGGGTGTGGGGCAGGGCCTGACAGCCCAGGGCTCTCCTACCATCCTTGGTCCCCGAAAGTTTGACAAACAAAGGCAGGCAGGCTTGTTATTCAAAATACCAAACAGGCTGTGCTCCCCTGCTGTGTGGGGCAGTGACCACTTAGTGGCTAAGTGGGCAGTCCTGGGCAGCTAGGTCCTGGGGATGGGCAGGGACACCTGGAGGCCTTGGGCAGTGGCTCTGTGCTAAGCAGCAGGAAAGCACGTCAAGACTTCAGCTGCAGTCGGGTTTTATGGATATGTGCTAGCTGGACAGCAGTTCTGCCAACAGGTAACGGTGCCCTTTTCCTGAGGAGGGGTGGGGGCACCCTTTGAGCTCAGCCTTGGGTTATCTCAGGGCAAGGTCCAGCCTGGAGATTTTTATTACTTCTCAGCACTGGGGGTTCCTCTTTTAAATCGTGACTTGACTAATCCTGGACAGCCCCATGCAGCTGACTTTCTCCTCGGAGGGACTCTGGGTGAAACCCAGCATGCACCATTTCCTTGCTCCTCACACCGCCCTGGACCTCTTTGCAGGAAAATTCATCAATGATTCAAGAAATCAATGGATTTTGAAGGTTAGTGCCTCCCAGGAGGACACGGTGATGCTTCGTAATCTTAGACAGAAAGATCAGTTGAGTAGAGTTACTCTGATCATCCCCCAAAGCTCCGGGAGCTTAGAGGGTGCTTCTGGGCTGCAGACTTGAAAGAGTTTCAGCCTCCCAGATCCCAGGACTGGGGAGCACTCTGGTGCGGGGGGAGCTCTGCATGGCTGCCAAGCCTTTCCCTCCTCGGGCCTGGCCCCTGCCCCCCCATCAGCCCCACCTAGTATACTGAACCCGCTGACAAGGGAACGAGAGCATGAGCGCTCTAAACACTGGCGGGCAGCATCGGCATTATCGTCATTATTAAGAAATGACCCAGTGAAACTGGAAGTCAGAAACAGCCAACACCCAGGGGCCCTGACCCCAATAAGGATAAGAATGTCCTCCACCCGAGCCGGGCTCTGCCCTCTGGGCCCCCCACTTAGCCTGCTCTCCCTTCTCCATGATTGCCACTGTCATGTCCCAGGCAGCTGTCATGTCCCTGCAAGCCCCTGTCTGCTGGCACCAACATCCCCCAGCCTCTCTTGCACTTAGATGTGGCTGTGTGACTGGTGCCAGTGGAAGTGGGGGTGGAAGTGATGTGTGTACCCCACTTCCAGGCCTGACCCATAAAATCCTCCTGCAAGGGCCTCTGCTCTCTTCTCCTGGCTTGGTTGCCAGTTGGTGCCCAGGGGGACCCTGAAAGCTATGTGTTGAAGATGGCAGACCCTCTGACACCCAGAGCCCAGGGCAGATCCCCCAGGTTACCCCATTTTGTTGGGACTTGAGGAGTGAGTACACTGCTAGTGGGGTAAGCCTGGAGATTCCAAGTTTTTCTGCCACAGTACTAGCTTTATTTTAACTCATAAAATCACCTTACACCCCCGACCCCCAAGTCCTTTTCTCTGGGCTCAACCTCCTCGGTTGTTTTTAAGGCATTTCTAATACAATGAGGCTTCTGTGTAACCTCATCACCTTCCTGTGGCCCAGTGGATTCCAAGCTGGACTCCTCTGGTGCCCAGGGGTTCTGGGGTCAAAGGCCTGGGATAAATGGTCATTTCACAGCCTCTCTGCAGCATGGTGGGGGTGCATGACCAGGTTCTGGCCAACAGGGAGCAGAAAGAGATGCACGAATTCTGGCTCATGACCTTAAGGGCAAGGGGCCCTGTGCTCCTCCCCCACCTTCCTCCAGAGGTGAGGACAACACCCTAAGATGGCAGAACAGACTGAAGGGGCTTGGCCCCCACACAGCTTTGCAGAGCAGGCCACCCTTGTCAGGTGACTGTCTGCTTTGGGATGGTCAGATGAGCGAGAAAGAAATGTCTTGCTTCTTTCTTAAATAACAAACCTTATTGGCGCCATCGAGAATTTGGCTGAACCTAAATTTGACCACATGGATTTGTTTCCTAAGGAAGTTTCTGGGAGGTAGGCGGCCTGGGGAGCAGATACCACCTAAGATGAAGGAGCAACTCTCCCAGGCCAAGGTTAGTTCTGTTTTACTTACTCCTCACAATGACATGTGTTACTACACCCATCATATAGTTAGGGAAACTGAGGCAGAGGGAAGGCAGGAACTGTGTTCACAGCCAAACGGCCAGCCAGGTGGAACTGGGCACAGAAGCTGAGTCTGGCTTTGCACAATAAACCTCCCATCCTCTATCTACACCAGGCCCGCCAAGGGCCAAAAAGTAAAGGAAGGCAAAGGAGGACAGGGAGGAAGATGATAGGGAAAAGGAAGCAAAACTGGGGGCTAGAATATGGGGGCCAATAAGGACCGCCCTGAGGGCTCTCTGATGGGCAGACTCCAGAGGCCTGGCGGTAACCAGGGCAAATGAGTTGAGGGACGACGCTTGGTGCTTGGTCCTTTTGAAAGGAGGTGGCCTACGGAGCTCTCCTGCCCCTCCCCCGCACAGCCGAGGTGACGCCAAGGGCCAGCTCCGGGTGCTGGCCTGCCTCGCAGGCTCGGGTACCTTCGCTGTTCACTTCGGGGAGCAGCTTGCGCAGTGGCCTCTTCACCTCCCAGGTGCTGCTGACGAAGGACGGCATCACCCTGAGCAGCTCGTCCTTGTCCTCCTCCCGGATCACAGGGATGGTCTCGAGGATGAGCTGCATCTGCTCCAGCTCGTGAGCCCCTGGGAAGGCAGACGCCAGATGGTTTAGTGTGTTGCCCAAGTGACTGGGGTGTGCGAAGGCCTGACAGTAGCATCAGGAGGCCTGGGAAGGGTGACCGAGACAAAGACACAGCAGAGTGGGGACACCCTGGGCTGGGAGTCAGGGGACCAGTTTGCTGGTTTCACTCACTCGCTGTGTGACTGTGGGCAGGTTGCCTGCCATGTCTGGGGCTTGGCTTTGTCAGTGTCTCTGCCTCGGGCTTGGACCAGCGTGACGTAGATTAAAGTGATCACTAAAGTAATGGGAACAGCCTGAGACTCAGACTTTCCAAGCGCTTCTCCCATGTGCCCTCTGCACGTTCTTTACCAGGCTGGGAAGGAAGTGTTCTGAGGGGCAGGAAGAGCCTTCCTTTGTGATTCCAAATTAGGAAGATTCCAATTAGGAGGGAAAAGTCAGGACGGACAAGTTGGGTCTGGGGTGTCTTGAGCACACTGCCTCTGTGCGCCTGCCGGCAGAGGCAGCAGGACGGATATGCCAGGTCTGCGGGAGCAGCGTGGCAGCGCAGCGTGGAGAGAGGCATTCATTCATTCATTCATTCATTCAGTCATTCATTCAGTCACGCATTCATTCTCAACAGTCCTTCACTGCGCGGCTTCTCCCTGCCAAGTATCATGCCGGAGGCTGGTGGAAGCAGCGCTCTCACCCCGCTGTGTTAGGCTGACCTCCGCGGTTTCCCAGCCTCGTTACCTCCATCTTCCCTTGCAGCTGCCATGACCAGGTTAAGTTCTCGTCCGACTCACTCCTTCGTCCAGACGTGCCCGGACTCACCCAGCTACCCCGCCTGCTCTCCCCTTCCCTCTGGTGCCCCCGGGGTTCCAGCCTTAGAGCGTGTCCCCCGGGTCCCTTTCACCAAGGTCCCTTTCACCTCTCCCTGCACTGGGCTCTTGGAGGGGCGTTCCAGGACTATGGGAGCCCCTTGAGAGGTCCCCTTTCCAACTGAGCACAGGACTAACTGCCCCCAGTGGCAGGGAGAGAGAAGGAAGAGGCTGAAAATGTGGGGTGGGCGTTTGCAATGATGAATGTGTTGGAATGCAAGGGGTGACTTGATTTTCGGGTTCTGTGCTCCAAAGGCTACTCTTAGCCTTGCCAGTATTTTCCAAGAGATGGTAATAAAGTACTTCCCAAGAGATGATAATAAAGGGCTTCCAAGTGGTGCTGTGAAAGCACAGGAGTAATTTCGAGGGAAAGACGAGCACGCTTCGCGGTTAGCACGCGTCTCTGCGCCCAGCCCTCCCCTTGCACAGAACATCAGCGGAGAAGGAGGACGGCGTGACAGACACTCACCTGCAAAGAGCATCCTGCCTGTCAGCATCTCCGCCAGGATGCAGCCAGCGGCCCACATGTCGATGGCTTTGGTGTAGTTGTTAGGGGACAGGAGCAGGCGCGGTGAGCGGTACCACTTTGTTACCAAGCCTTCAGACAGATAACCCTGGAAGACAGAACCCCTGGTTCTGATGAGCAGCCATCTGCAGAGCGCCTCCCTCCCGTGCCTCTTCACGTGGAGACAGAGCCCCCTTCTGGACCCCTTTCACCGTCCATCCTTACCCGTTGATCATGCAGGCGCATAACAGCGGTCTGGCTAGAGAGGCTAGAGAGGGTTGTGGAGCTCAAAGGCTCTGGTGGGGGAATCTTATGAGGTCTGGGAATTCTGTATAGAAAGAGATAAAGGATTCAAGGATCCACTATTTTTGAAGGAATGCTTTCCCACTCCACTGGCGGTAGTAAGAAGGTGGGTAACTAGGAGTCAAACCCAAGCTCACCACCTCCACCAACAGAGTAATGCCGAGACACTGGACCTGCATTTATCCAGTGACCGCATTGCAGAAATAGCTGTACATTTGCAACTAGCCAGTTGTGCCGGTGCTGGTGAGGTGAATGAATGCTCGATGCCAGGCTCCGAGCCTGTGCTAAGAACAGGTAAGCCCGGCTTCCTAATGAGTGCAGGTCAGGGGTCCAGGGAAGCAGTTGTCATGACAGAGTGGACACAGCTTTGGTTGGCCTGGAGGATTCTTTTTGGGAGATCAATGCTTTAGCTGATTCCAGCTACTGTTCAATGATTTGTGCTCTGGGATGGAATCCCTTGCTGTAGCATATGGTGGAGGCTGGGGTGAGGTTGGCGGACTATCAGGTAGACAGGGAGGGGTGGGCGGGTGAGTGGGCATGGGCAGGGCAAGCTGTCTGCAGGATGGCAGGCCCCGTGTAAGGCTCTCTGCTCTGAGGACACGGGCACCGCAGCTCCCCGGGGCCACACTCTGCGCAAGAGGAGAGTGGAGTTGCCCCTCCCCGAGTGTCCCTGTGCCGCTGCCCCCTGTCCTGTGGTGTTCCTATTCAGGTGGGTCCAGAGGCACCCCTGGGAGGCATTTACTATGGTTTCCTGTCTAGACCTTATAGTAGGCGCCTTCAGGCCTTGTTCAGCCGTTGCTCCAACCCATTTTGTTACCTTTCAGATTCAGGTACAGCCAACTTTGAAAGCTTCCAAGGTGTTTGGGAAATAATCTAGCAGCAGCTGCCCCAGGAAGAGGATTATTAGGGGACCCCAAATGCAGAGGGAAGAAAGTATAATGAAAGCTCTGTGTGTTCTCTTTGCAGAGGGAGCAGGGGAGCCCACACTCAGCCCGGCTCTCTGCCAGGGAGCTCAGAGAAGCCTTGTTCAGACTCACCCCAGAGTGGGGCACCCATGGCCGCTCCAGCGGCCGGCACCTGGGGGTCGGGGAGGTCCAGTTGTATTCGGCCTGCCCTCTCCATGACTCTGCCCATCCTGAGTCTGGTTGGTTGTGTCTGGGAGTCAGGAGGCTGGGGAGGAGGTGTGACTCCATAAACCTTCTACTCACCCTTTACTGGCAATGTGCTCCTGGACCCTCGCAGGGATGGGGTGAATTTAAATGCAGACAACATTTAAAGTCCAGTCAGCTGTAGCCCTGTGCTCCTGTTGTTGTTGTTGGTGGTAAGGGTGTTGCTGGGGGTTGTTGTTGGGGGTGCGGTGATGGTGGCCTTGGTAGGGATATTGTGGTTATTGTCAGTGTTGTTGGGGGTGTTGGGGGATGCGGTGGTGTTAGTGCTTGTGTTATTGGCATTGGTGGAGGTGTGTTGGTGCGGGGGGTTTTGGTGGGGGATGACAGAGTGGAAAGGGTTGTTTCTTGCCTCCCACTAAATGGCTGTTCTAGGCCAGGGTTGGCGGGGCTCAGACAGGCTCACTGTCTGGATCAGAAGTATCTGGCTTGTATCCCAAAGCCCAACACATGTCTCCTCTATGTGACAAAAATGAGGATGGATAAGATCTTCAAAGAGCAAGTAACAAGGTTAGAGATGAAATGTTCACTACGCAACGATGATTACGATCAGTACTTATGCAGGGTTTGCTCTGTGCTGGGCCCTGTGTTCGCACTTTCCATGAATCCACTCAGGCATCCTTCCATCAGCCTTTGTGTGCAGGCTCTTCGAGGGCAGTAACGTGGCTTGCCCAAGGTCACAAGGCTGGGAGTGGTGGAGGGTGTCCAGCCCACAGCCATACTAGAGTATGTCCGCTGCTGACCTCCACCGTCATGCCTTGCGCCACAGTGGACGGTAAGCAGCCAGGAGCAGGCAGGGAAATTTGCACAGAATGTGGATGGGAGATATTTTGTCCTGAGGTGGGTCGGCAAAGGCTTCATGGAGGTGAGGTCTGAGTTGGTCTTAATGGAAGGGGACACCTTAGAGAGCTGGACTGGGGGACATTCAAGGTAGAGGTGGTGCTAGGAAGCCAGAGTGAGTGAAGTCAGGGGGGTAGGATTGTGCTTAGGGGACAGAGAGATGCCTGAGCATACAAAGGGAAGGGGCTGTGAGTCAGTGGTCCCTAAGAACCCCCTGCAGCAGAATCAGGGAAAGTGCTTGTGAAAAGTGCAGACTGCCCAAATTTATGGGCCTGGAGGCCTCTGACCTTCATCTTGAAGGAGCTTGTACCTATACCCGCTCCCAGTTTGAGGAGCCCAGGAAGAACACAGGAGTTTGGAGAGTTGCCCAGTGGGGAAGGAGGGGTGGTAGGGAGCCCGGGATTAGGAAGGGCCACCTGCCTCTCTGCTTTTCTCCTTAGTCCAGGGCAGGCCTGCATCTGTGGGGAGCCCTGCTGATTCCTCCTAGTGGGTGGGGTGTGCCTGGAACAAAGTGATTGCAGGCTCTGCACTCCTCGTCACTCCCGCCTGGAGACGCTTGCAAGCTGGACTGGCAGCAAACACGCTGCTGCTCTCTGGACAACAGGGGTTCATGGGCTCAGGAAGGCCTTGGGAAGGCCCCTGGGCAGCATGTGTCCTTGGAAGGGAGTAGGATGCCCAGATGCACCCCTGCCCAAAGTTGGAGGAATTAGGTCAAGGGCAAAGGAAAGCGGGCTATGGAGAAGTGACACATTCAGCCTTCGGCGGGAGTGGGGCTATTGTGTAGATGCTGTGATCTTGCGGAGGTGCAAGTCCCCAGGAACCCTCCTGCTGCACGTGTCCTGGCGTCAACGGCATGTCACAGAGAAAGGGAAAGGCCAGGCACGTTTAGTCTGCACAACATGGGCACTGGGCTTCTGAGAGTTGCCTGCAGGCTACTGCAAGGCTGTCGGGTGGACGGGGACTGAGCTTGTTCTTGGAGGCTCTGGGCACAGAGGAGAGCCAAAGAAGGAGCCGGATTCTGTGCCTGTGGTGATGGCTCACACTCACCGACTACTCAAACTGCTCTACCCTATGCTGATTAACTCATTTCATCCTCACAACGCCGCGAGGTAGGAATTCTCATTATAGTAATTTTCCAGTAAGGAAATGGAGGCACAGCAAGGGTTAGCAACCCCTCCAGGGTCACACAGGCTTAAATGGCGTAAGTGGGACGCAGCTTCAGGCGGTGCAACGCAGCACCTTGGGTCTGAACAGGAGGCTCAGCTGCCTTTCACCACAGAGCCCTCTAAAGCCACCAGGGCTGTCCAAAAGGGGACTGGGCTCTCAGACAGGCAGACACATCCAAGCACAGACTGGATAACCTCATGGAGAGATGTGCCAACACCACCTCCCCTCCTGGGAGGTGCCCCAGAGCCCAGGATCATAAATCTTGGCATGCACTCCAACACTGGGGCACCCAACATCTTATTTCAATCTGATTTAATGCAGATTTCATTTCACCAGGGAACAAGGTGACACCAGTGTGCAGGCCACAGCACCGCACTTGCGCCAGCAACGCCCAAGGTGGTATTTACTATCCTGCACTGTCCTGAAGGTTTGTGATTTGCCTTGTTCACAGTCCAGGCAGTTTTCTCCACCTGAACAGGAGCCTGACCTATAACAGGGGTTAATTCTTTGTGTTACAGACACTCATCAAAAGCTCACTTAGAAAAGCAACACCCTCCTAGAGGCCCAGTTTAAGCAGAAATAATATGGCCTCCCTCAGCAGTCTTCTCCCTCTGAAGGTATAATTCCTGTCTGTGCCAATATCTGTATCAGGCATTTTAGAAGCCTTTTTAAAAAAGAAATAACACCACAGCCAAATAGCCTTTCTCATTGCTGACTCCAAGCTCATTCTATTAAACTCATTTCCATGAAAATACGCAGCAGGGAATCTCTCAAGCTGAGGGAAGGAACACAATCTTAAAAGCCCAGCACACTCCACAATCTTTGGCAAGTCATTGGTACATTCCATTTATGCAGCTGAAACACACACGGTGAAGAAAGAGTACAGTTAAATGAGCTGTGCTGGGTTTTCAGTAAATTTTCAGACAGCCTAAATGCTGCTAATGCTGCCCCCTTCCCCAGGGTTGCCTCTTCCCCAGCCCATGCTCCTGGGGATCCTGTCCAGTGAAACCCACCCACTTGTCCCTGGTTTCCATGGAAATCAACCAAAAGCTCAGTTAAGTTCCTATAGCCTACAGATTCCATGTGTTCACTTTTAACTTTAAAAAATGATGATAGAACAGCTTTTTAAAAAATAATTTACTGTCATCCCTTAGTATCCAGGGGGACTGGTTCCAAGCGCCCCAACCCCATGAGCCATGAGAATATTAATCCAAAGTCCCTTATACAGAATGGCAAAGTATTGCATGTAACCTCCACACAGCCTCCCACAAGCTTTAAATCATCGCTGGATTACTGATAGCCTCTAGTACCATGTGCATGCTATGCAAATAGTTGTTACATGGCATTGTCTGGCAGTGATGCCAAGGAAAGATGTCTGTCTTTGCTCAGGACAGAATAAGCACCACAGGCCTGACTGTGCAGTATGGGTTTTCTCTGTGGTTGGTTGAATCAGGCCACATGAGACTTGGGGATACAGTGGAATGGTTAGATTTTTAATTGTGATAAAATAGGCATAACATAAAATTCACCATCTTCAGTGTACAGTTTAGTGGCATTAAGTACATTCATATTGTTGTGTAATCATCACCACATCTGTCTCCAGACTCTTCATCTTGCAAGACGGAGGCTGTAC